CGCTCAACAGCCCGCCGAGGACCGCAGCTTTAAAACGAACGCAAAAAGCACTTCTTAAAGGCATACGCCCTGTGTCAAACCTCCCGATCCTCAACAGCCTCGGCAGCCGACGCGCGTCCCCTTTAAAACATGAATTATGCCGGTTATACATAAATCCAATCATACCCCCCCACCCCCCTCTTCCACCCCCTCCTCCCCCCCCCGACAGCTAAAAAACGCTGTTTTTTTATTTCGGGGTGGAAATCAGAAAGGAGCCAGGCCCGCGCCGTGGCACCTTCAAACCCACAGTACTGCGTGTACGGTACGCGGGGGGCTGGGGTGGCGATCTCGGGAAAGCGCGCCGGGCAGGGAGCTGCCCCGCACAGCCAGGCCGCTGCCGGCGAGAGGAAGCCCGGCCGGGGCGGCGATGCGGTGACGCCGTCTTTCCCGGCTAGCAGGAGCCCGCACTGGTACAGTATTTGGGACCGACGGGAGGCGGGCAGGGGCAGGGGCAGCGCCTCAGCCCCGGCTGCCGGGCGTGTGGGTGTGCGCGGCGAGCCCACTGGGGGTGGCAGAGTGGGAGTGGGCTCTCACTCTCCAGCCCCGTACCTCAGGCACGCGTTGCCACTTCCGAGACGCGGCGTGACGGACCCCTGACCGACAGCTCCGACCCCCTGGTCATTGTCGGTCAAAGAGGGTGCGCACAATAGAAATACAGTACTGTCGTGATCTGTCGTGGTCCTGCACAGGGAATTATTGATGAAACGATATGACATGATCTAGGCATCTGTAAGTTACATGGGGGACCCGGGGTCGCTTTTAGCAGCGCCGGACAATACGTGCTCGTAACGCCCGGTGTAAGGACGTCTACAAGCGTGCTGCGGTGGTCGGGTCGGGCAGTTTGCCCGGGAGTAGCGGGTTTTATTGAAGGTAGCAGGAGCACAAGCACGGCCGAGCACGAGCAGCCGGGAGACGGAGCGAGAGAGCCGGGGGTGGAGCAGAGATGCGCCCGGGGGCAGAGCGGCGAGCAGACCGCGGACTCGGACAGCGCGGCGACGTGCGACAGGCGGCCGGCTCCGGCGTCAGCAGGCGGTGGGCTCTCCTGCCTCGCGGCACTGCAGCGCGGCCGAGATCTCCCCACTCGCGGGGAAGACAGGAAACGCTCCGGAGTTAGAGTCGGTGATGCAACAACAGGACAGTAGTGTGGTCTGTTACAGCGGGACTGCGCTAGGGCAGTGCTGGACTGTTGCGTTTCAGCCGGCTGAGTTGGTTAAGCTCAGTAATCTTACAACTAGTACTGCTACTACAGCAACTGGTACTACTGCTCCTATTACTGCAGTAACTGTCACTACTGCTCCTGTTACTGCAGT